GGATATGGAAAGCTGTAAATTACATGTGGGGGCGGGTAATTCTGGACATTTGAAAATGAGGTAAAGAGAAAGGAAAGAAACCACCCTGGCTGGACTTACTGGCTTCATTTTAAGGACAATCAGTGGAATGCTTGCTCACTCCTGTAGATAGAGCTACATCATGAACACATGTGACCTTCCTGATCCTTTCCTAGGAGGACCTTGAACATGACAAAATGGGGGTCTGAATTCATGGCAGTTATCTTTTACAAGATAGTCAGCCAGGCAATCCAGAAAATGCTTATTTTCAATAGATGATCATCAAAATGAAAACACAAAATTTACAATGGTCTCATAGAACTTTGGGGCCTTTGGAAACGGGTAGCCTCCCTCATTTTGAGAAAATATTCCTTGTATCGTGAATGAATGAATTGGACCACACAAAGCTTATCTGCCTCATGACTGCAATGCATTTAAAATAGCTTTTAAGTGCAGCCATCTCCTCAATGACACCACATAAACCATTTTAGGTGAAATCAAAGATGCCACTAATCATAAAGTATGTCATCATTTTACATACAAAAAGCAAAGAAAAAATGATAATTAGAATCTCTTGATTTTAGCGATGTTAAAATGTGGTAAACAACAGCAAAAACCCTTGTGGGTCTTAGCAAGGATGGGAAATCCCACGGTAGAGTGCATTCATTAAGAATACGGTGCTCTAACTTCCAGGCTTGGGTGGATGGCAGTCCTGCTCCTTAGAAGCTGTGGAACCCTGGGCAGATCTTCACCTTGCTGTGCTTCAGTATCCTTATCTGATCTTAACAAGGCCTACTTCTCACTAAATTACTGTGATGTTACAGTATTTAACATGTGCCCAGCACTTATTAGATGTCTGACTGCTTCTGTTACTATAAATCGGGCAAGAGAGGAGTCACCAAGTTAACAAATCTTAAATGGTTTTCTTTAATCTGAATGAGTTCACCTAGTCTCAGCTGCCAAACTTTTAGACATGTTTGAAATAAGTGGAAACAGCTTTGCTTCCTTAGTGCCTTAGCTCTCTAGAAATGAAATGAAATAACCTAAAATGGAGTCAAAGCATCTCCTTAAACTGAAGAATCACTCAGAGCCCTAAGGAGCCAATGACTCAGACACAATGGGTGATAGTTTGCATATTGCTTTGCGTGACATTTGCATGCTACCAATTCTTTTTCGCTTGAAGTGAAAACCCGCCCACCATCTGCTTCTTTCCTAGTCCTTCACAATCCCCTAGGTGTTCAGTTGGCTGCCTATGCCTAGGAAAAATAAAGCAACTGTCATGCATCAAGTAGTTATTGCATGTTCCTCTCTGGCTGGTTAGCTTGGATGAAAAGAGAAGGGCAAGTCTGTCCCAGACTCTGCACAGGTCACTTGGCATCACTGTGGACCATCCTACACGGAGCGTAATCATTGACTCAGAAACCACTAAGCCACAAACAACATGAGGCAGCTCTTCCTGAATACAACCCCTGACACATACGAGCCTGATGGTGAATCAGATCATTCATAGCTCACTACTTAGCTCAGCAAATAGTTCCTGACCACCAGCAGCTTCTGAATCAAACCAGAGCGAACTTTCTCTTCTCTTGAGTGTGAAGAATTATGGGGTAGTGAACCTACGACAAAGATCTGCTTTCACTCTCAAAGCTGTCAAGATTTAATGTAAACATACAGCAGCCAATATCTGGCAATAAAGAAGAAAAAACAGCACCTAATTAATCAGGGACCTGTTGCTAGAAACCTCTGTCAGCTCTAATCATCTGTTTAAATTCAGCCCTCAGATTTGTGACTACTTGCCCATAAGTGATAATGGACTTACATTTATGTAAGTCTGATCAGAATTCACTTAGTTGCTGTTTCTTGGGAATAACTGAATATTTTTTTGTAAACTCAAATACCTATATTATTAGTATATAAACTAGGCAGTGATCCTACTTAAGATGATACTGAATATCTGTTGTTCACACAAGAGCTGAAAATAGCACCCTAATGAGTAAGTGTCCTGTAAGTTATCCTTTAGATCATGCACACAAATAACAACTCCTATTGCTCTTAGGTTTCTATATGACATGTGACCCACACATGAACAGCAAACCCAACCAATCTGCCATAAAACCCCAAATTCATATCTGGATACTAGAGCTGGAACACTACACATGTAATTAAACTTATCAGGTTTTTAAAGATACTATTTTATCATAGGATAATTTGTACATGTGTGAACTTTATAGCTATATAATAAGGATAAGGATAAAAGTACCGATTAGACATTTCAAATTATTGCGAACAAACTTGTAAAACATCATACTTTTATCAACATTTAGGAACACGGGACCTGTATTATACTGTTATTTCAAAAACAACTCTAAGAAGGATAAAAATTACCAAAAAAAAATTAACAGTATAGCATCACTTTACTTTCCAAAAGTGTCACTCCTCATGGGATAACCTACAGGATGCCAAAAACTTTAGGTATTATCTAGTCCACCACCACCATTTTTGTAGATGAGGAGTTCAAGATCTGGTCTAGAAACTGGCACTTTAAAAACAAAAGTGGGGGAGGGGCGGGAGAAGACGATCCCAGAAGAAGAGTACTTGAAACTGGTAGGTCCCGGACAGGGCCCTAGAGCTTCTGTGAAGTGGGGTCAAGGCCATGGCTGGGTAAGTGCCTACGTTAAAGAGCTTGGAGCCTGGAAGAGGAGAAGGCACGGGGGAGGATAATCCAACATGGAGATGCTCTGGGCCCAGAAGCTGGGTTACGTTCTGAGTCGGAGATCATCTGGTGCGAGGTGCTTCCCTGGGATGACAGGTGGACCTGTCCCCAGGGAGCAAGGCATTCTGTCCCCTCCCTACTCCCGGGTCCCTTCCTACTCACTGGAAGGGCTAGAAAAGCAAAGTCATTACCAACGGCGTGGAGCTAGCCATAAAGACAAAGGACTATGAAAGCAACAGCTCAATCACTGATTCAGTCTTCCTCCAAGCGGAAAGGCATCACCTCCTGATCTGCTCAGAACACAACGGGCCCATAGGCCAGCTCCTCAGTGCCTGTTTTAAAGGCCCCTGAAGATTGGGGATTCCTATTTTTGAGAAGCTCAAACCCTGGGGTGGAGAAGGAAAGGAGAAGGAGCAGCTGTGCAGACTACCCTCCACTTGCCCCTACCCCAGAGATGCCGTCTTGGTCTGTGTGCACGCCCTGCCTGGCTGACCTCTAGGCCCACTACTCTCTGGGCTACTTGTCACCTGGCTCTCAGCTGGGCTCCCAGCTGGGCTCATCCATTGGGATGGCAAGAGATGGGGGGAGGGGGAAATGGGAAGAGAAAGAAGTCCAAGCGTTTCGTGACTCCACTCTCCTGGGCTCTGCTGTAGTAAATCCTCCCTGGGCCCTTGCAGGCCTTAGGTGGTAAATGTCTGCCTGAGCCCTAGTGCTCCTAGCAGGTTTCCTTTCACTCCTTCATTCAGTTGACCCACCTGAGTAGGAGTCTATCTTCTGCCAGGAATCTGACATGACACTAAAGAACAGAAACCATGGGATACACATGGTATCCTATAGACACTTCCATTTACCTAGTACAATGTTATGTTGAAATGGAGATATCTTATAGAGTTTAATGGAAATGCACGTACACAGTAAAAATAAACAGACCTTCAAAACCCATCAACTGTCCAACCCCAAATACTGCTGCCTTGGAAGTTCACTCTCTCTGACTCTGGGCTCTTCAGTGGGAAGACCGGGAAAGGATGCTTAACTAGAGGGAATGAAGACCCCCACAGGCTCTCCAGCTTTGTAAATGGAAGTAAAAGTAAGGTAAATTCCTCTGCTGCCTGAGGGAGTCCCTCTTCAGCCAGGACCTGATGTTGACAGGGAAGCGGGGGGGATGTGGGGCCAGACCTAGAGCAGGGCCAGGGCAAGCAGGGATGCTGGAAGAGGAACGTGACCCAGAGGGAGGGGACCGAGGAATGAGGGCATCCTAAGACCACAGACTGTGCAGGGAAATCACTCGTCCTCTAAGGACATCTTGCAGAGTCCAGTACTCTGATTGCTTTCAAAACAAAGAGTCAGTCTTCAGCAAGAAGCCAACATGTGCTGTGAATAAAGGGGCAGAGAAGTATGTAAAACATATCAGAATACTTTTCACAAAGTCTCTAATTGTAAAATTCCCTGCACCTAAACTGAGGACACATCAGTTATTTAAAATAAAAGCCAAATTCATCTTATTCCCGGTAATGCTGGATAGAGTAGGGGTTAACCATAATCTCTTGGCCGAAATTCCTTACAGTTGAGCCCAGAAAAGAGGAGAATACAGCTTCTAAGGGCTTGTGCATAAAAGGAGAAACTCATGGGCTTCTGGGAGGGGACAGAGCGAAGTCACTGAGCAGAAGTGGAACCAGCTGTAGAGCCCTCCCGGGTCCCTTCCAAACACCCCTTCATTCAAACCCCTCTCCTCCCTCCTCTCACTCTCATGGTTTATGCTTCTGCAGTCAAAAAACATTTGGATACTACCAGTTTAGATTGGCCACAGGTAGTAATCACAGGTATATAGATTCATCACAAGTATATATGCAAACGGCTACCATGGGCGAGTAGAAGACAGCCTTTACCTTTTCACACCAGCCTGATGACTCATCTTTTTTTTTTTTAAGATTTTATTTTTTATTTCACAGAGAGAGAGAGACAGCGAGAGAGGGAACACAAGCAGAGGGAGTGGGAGAGGGAGAAGCAGGCCTCCCGCCGAGCAGGGAGCCCGACGCGGGGCTCGATCCCAGGACCCCGGGACCATGACCCAAGCCGAAGGCAGACGCTTAACGACTGAGCCACCCAGGCGCCCCCTGATGATTCATCTTAAATGCATTTTATTCGGATGTAGAAGGATCCTCTCTCAATATCTAATCAATATCTATTGCGAATCATTTAATTCTTTTAAAAAAGACATATTATCGAAGGCATTGGAAATCAGTAAGAGCCAGGCAGAGAATCTGCTTACCTGCTATCCCCAGCATTTGCCACATACAGCTTCCCCAAAAGGCAAACAACAATGAGCGCCGTGCAGCCACCAGATATATTATATGAACTCCTCTCTCGTTCTATTTGTAGGTCCTGGAGAAGGAAACAAAGTCAGTGTTGGATTGTGTAGGAACTCTTATCAAAGACTTTAACCTCACTCCCTTGACACAGCTCTGAGTCTGAATGTGCTTCAAAGACGGGACAAGACAATCTTTAGTACTTTTCTGTCACCTGAAGAGCATTTCTCACTGAGGACACCGACATAAAACTGTCGTCTACTAGACCATCTGTAGACCAGAGACAGGAAACAAGGGGTGGCAAACAGATCTAATCAGAACAAAAACGAGGAAAAGAAAATCAACTGTATTCAAAAAATACAACTTGTGGAAAATTTAGTCTTTGTAGGGACCGCCTGAGCTGCCACATGAAAAATACGATCGACAGGCTGATAAGGCCAAGTACTTGAAACTGAGCAATGTTTTTAACCCCAAAGTCTCCAGTAAATAGTTGCTTTTATAGCTAGATAAGAGAAGTGACTTGAAGGACAGTGTCCTCTATTCAAAGCAGGCAGGAGTCAACCCCCTGTCTTATTAATCAAAGACAGAGCTCCCAAACTCTGGTCCGACTTCATCTTCCCCCAGTCACTGATTCACAACAGGGACACACATTCACAGCAACAGCCAATATTCACTGAACACGTCTTCTACGTTGGGAAGGGCGCGAAGCGCTGTACATAGAGAATCTAGCGGATCCTCACAACCATATTATCAACCTCAACGTTCAGATGCAGAAGGAGGGTAACTTGCCCATGTTCACCTGGTTGGAGTTTGGATTTCAATCTGGTTCTCCTCCTCCACCTAATGAGGCCTCCCCAAGAAAACGAAAAATAGACCAAGACTTCCATTGACAGATAATGCATCATCCAAGACAGAGGTCTTTGTGAAATTCTTTGTCAGCGAAAGAAGCACGGTTCCATGACCTGAGGAAAATGTGAGCTGAGCTAGGAAAACAAAATGAATGTTGGCTAAAATAATGCCCAACATTCCCATGGTAATCGACGGTTGGGGCAGAGGGAGGGATGAGGAAGTGGTGCTCCAGCTGATTCTCAGGATGTCCCTGGCTGGTTCTTAGAAACCCATAGAGTTCGAACTCTGCTGCTGTGACCAGCCTCCTCACAGGGAAGGGAGGAGATAATCCAGTAAGCCAGCATTTATCAGCAAATGCGTGGCGCCAGAGGCCAGAGGTGGTAATACAAGATCAGATAAATCACCAATGAGAAACTGGAAACAGGAGAAGAGCCAGAGCCAAGGAGACAGATGAAGATCAGCATACTGTTAAAAAGGAGTAAAAAGTACAAAAACAGGATCTGGGAGAAACTAACTTACTGGGGATCAACCCAGTAAGGCCCACAGGCCACTAACTGTGGTCAATCTAAACTGGTAGTAACTGTAAGGGGGACGGGTGGGGAAAGGCTGAGGAACCATGGGTAAAGGGTAAGAATGTGTGTATATGGGGTGCGGTAGTTAAAAAGTGAAGAAAAACTCCAGTAAGAGAGTGAGTGGACAACATCGAAAGTTGCAGAGTCAAGCATGAGGACCACCTTTGAAGACTATACTGGGTTTTAAAAAATGTACTCAAACCCTGTATCAATTAGTTTCTTAAAGGACTATTGTGAGGATTAAACTGGATGCTAAGTGTGAGGGGCTTGGCTGCCCATCTAGATCCTTTCCAGGGCCCAGAAGTTTCATGACTGAGAGCAGAGACTTCTCTTGCTCACTGCTAGACCCTTAACACCTACACCAGGCCAGGTAAAAAAGATAGTTTAATAAATATCTGTCAAAAATGGGCAAATGAAGAAATACATTTAAAGATGCCCAGGTTTCCAAATTATGTCCTCACCACCTGACCTCTGTTCATAATTCACAAAGGAAAAGCTTACAATGCAAATAAATGCTCACTGAGATGATGATTAAGCAGGAACCCATGCCTCAGTTCAGATGCAGCCAATTGACAAGAATGAATGAATGGTTACCAGAACCTGCACAGGGATGGCAGGAGCCCGGAGGGTTAGGAGAAAGAGGGGCACAGATACCAGCCAAAAAGACTGTCACGAGGAAGTGAAAGGGAAAGAAAATATCAAGTTGTCAGAAGTTTGGTCTGTTTAACCTCCAAACAATGCATAGAAACAGAACCAACAACCCAGTTCACAAAGCAGTTTGTGGATGGATATAGTCCCTTTCTTTGGCATTTAAATAATATAAAGCTGATGTTATGATAGACACGTATTTCATCAAGTTAAAATATAAACTGGTATATCAAGTCCACGCTCAATACTACTACTCCACGACTGTTCTCAATATACTGGAAGGAACTGCCAAAGATAACAGAAAGTATCCTTTCATATCCAGAATCAACATTTGTTTGAATACCTAATGTCTGAATGAAAGACAATTTTTTTTTTAAGATTTTATTTATTTTTGACAGAGAGAGAGAGTGTACAAGCAGGGGAAGCAGCAGGCAGAGGGGGAGGGAGAAGCAGGCTTCCTGCTGAGCAGGGAGCCCAATGCGGGGCTCGATCCCAGGACCCTGGGATCATGACCTGAGCCAAAGGCAGACGCTTAACCGTCTGAGCCACCCAGGCGCCCAAGACAATTTTTATTTAAAAAAAATCCCTTGAACATCCAACTGCTTGCATGCTCCTCATGGGCTGGAGTGTGCACAATGCTCGAAAGACTGAAATCATTGGTGTCATCCAAAAGAAAATGCTATGATACACAGAGTCCAAGTAAAAGCACCATCCAGGAGCACCTGGGTGGCTCAGCCATTGGGCGTCTGCCTTTGGCTCGGGTCATGATCCCAGAATCCCGGCATTGAACCCCGCATTGGGCTCCCTGCTTGGCAGAAAGCCTGCTTCTCCCTCTCTCCCACTCCCCCTGCTTGTGTTCCTGCTCTCACTTATTCTCTGTCAAATAAATAAATAAAATCTTTAAAAAAATTAAAAAAAATAAAAGCACTATCCATTGCAAAAATTTCCATTGGGACTCAGACAAGTTTATTCTGCATCACAGGTGCATTATTTATCATGGTTAACATCACAAGAAAATCTGATTATGAGATTATTTAATTCTTAAAAAAATCAAGACAAGAATGTATGTATAACACTATGATTTTCTGCTACGGCAGAGTTCCTATTTGCCTGTAATCTGGGGGGAAACGCTCCAGTTAGCTTGCCCAATTAATCCCTTGCTATTACATGAATAGTGTGATTCAATATTTTTTTCTAATTGATTCCATCATTTCTTTCATCTTTTCTTATAGTTCAACTACATTCCCTCTGTAGTTTCCCCAGCATAAGGAGTGCTAAATTTGGCAGCACTGTCACTTAAACAGTGGACTAATGTCTAGCTACTTTGTATCCAGGAAACTTTGCTAATATGTTCATGCTTTCATCACCCCCCACCATTTGTGTGGTAATACACGTGTGTGTGTGCAGATGCACATGTGTGCACACACGCTTTAATTACATATGTGCTCTCTGGGATTTGAAAGATCCCAGACTTGGTGACTAGGATTTGAAAGATGTGTTTCCATAGACTTCATCCCCCTGAAGGATTCACTGACATTAAAATACACTCTTCTATTTCTTCTAAAACTGGGTGTAACTAGAACATATTCTAAAAATAATTGCTTCCCCTCCCCTCCCTAGAAGCCGAAATAGCACATTTATTTTTTCCTACACCACCTACTCCTCTTTAAAAGATGTTTCACAAAATCTTAGTACTGAAAGGAACATTAAAGGACCATCTGCATGGTTCTTTTACTACCAGATCAAAACACGATAAATGAAGTCAATAAAGATATTTACTGCTGAATTAACTACTCATTTTCTTCAAACCCTCAACTTTTCCAATTAGCTTAAGCTACTCACACTTTACATAAAAATATATATGTATATATATGTATAGTATAGTTATTATAATTTGTAAAACCTCAGGTTTGGGTATGTTTTCAAAAAAAAAATCAATGAAATCATGGGAAAAACTGCTGTTTTGTGCGAAACAAGGACCAATTTGGAATATTTCTCCATTATTGCTGTCAACAAACCCCAAGACATAAATCTAGAATAACTTACCACCAAAACATATGCATGTACTATCATTCCTTTTCAAGTATGATCTAAAAGGACCAACTTACACATTCATAATATTCAATTAACAAGATAATTATTTTATCCGCTCGGTCAAGAGTCCTATAGACCTCTCAAGGCCACCTTCTATTTAGCAGGACTGATTTATCCTGTGTTGTGTCTGTCTAAATACTACATTTAAGCCAGGTTTATCTCTAAATCTTAAGAATGGATACAATTTTTAAAGACTTGGGATTTCATTTTGCTCCTTTTTGTTTCAAGGAAGGCTACAAAGGAAAATAAGAGATGTGTGAAATGAGACTAATTCAGCAGGAAAGAACTGCAAGAGAGAAAATATATTGCTCAGGATGGTTGTAATTTGGTTTGAAAGTCCCAGAGATGACGCAACTCCAGGATCATTCTTTGTTTCCTACCAATTTCTGGTTGCAAAAGGACAGCAATATCAGACAACGGAAGGGAGTGAGTGCTGGGTAGTTTCAATAGGCCTTGGCAGCTCCCCATAAATGGGTTAAAACACGGTTCTGAGCACATTGCTAATAGTGTCAGTCACAAATAATAAGATTCTGCATGGTTTCAGTATCTGGGTCTGATTTTGGTTTATTCTGAGAACAAGCCAATCTGTCAGCCAGGCAACAGGGAGGGAAAAAAAAAAAACAGTACTGCCTCATGTTGCCACCTGCTGGCTGTTGGTAGAATCACATGTTCATTCCTTGGAGGAACTTCCTGTTTTACCAAAAACAAAGACAAAACTAGCTTAATTAAACACAGACAGACATGCAGGTCCATAACTTACCATGAATATGGTAATTTTTGAAAACACTACGATTTATAAACTATAGGTTTTGCATTTATCCTCTTTTTCACCACAGTGTCACCATATGGGTTTTTTTTTTTTAACCAATAAATCCAAGCTGAGTGCTATTTCCAGTCATTAGCTCAGTAACAGGAAGATGAATGGTAGTTTTATAAGTGAAAATACTGCCGTTTTCTTCCTTTGTAACAACCAAACTTCTAAAATATTCTTCACTCTGGTAATGAATCCATACCCACAGTGAAAAGGAAACAGGACAGAATTTTGAAATTCCTCCTGCCTTTGTCCAGAACTCAAATCCTATAGGTGGTAGGTGACAAGGCTCACCTGTGCTGACTGGGCTGTGATTCCTATGAAAGCAAGGGTCTCCTGCAACTAGACCAACAGTGGAAGCGACCTCCCTGAGAGTGAAATGCTGACGATGCAACCCCATTTTGGGGAGGGCCGGCAAGCAAGAAGAAGACTGACATTGGGAGGGAGAAGACAGTTATCGTATTCCCTCCCGTCTATCATCCGGGTCCCAGCAATAGCCTAAAATCACAGGTGACAAAACTCAGCCGACGAAGTAGGCACTGTGACAAAGCGCCGTGGGGAAGCAGAACTGAGGTCAGTTCAAGTTCCTGAGATTCTGGTCCTTTAGGAAATCGTGGTTCGTTTTCCACAGCGGACACAGGAAGAATGGACGATGCAGCCTTCTCAGTATGAAGGAAGATCCAAAACGAGACGCAATAAAGGGGGCCCAAGGGCAAACGTGCCTCCTCTGGAAAGCACAGGAAGGATCAGAGGCCAGGGGTCAGAGGTCGCCTTCAACACAAGCCACACGCTGCGGGCAGGCAACTGGAGGATCAAAGAGGAAAGGAAAAGCAGTGACCTCAAAGCAGCTCACGGTATTTGATGAAACTGCTCTCATCTCCACTGGTTCAAAGCGTTTTCTCCACTTCTGGTAGTCTGTATTTTGTGACAAGTACCTACTTTTTCCTGGAAATCAATGTTGTTTATTCTATTCTAGCGTGGTGTTTCTACATCTTTTTAACCAATCCTTCCTTTCAAATAGGTATCTGCCTTTCACCACCTCACTTCATGTCACTTAGAATATCGAAATGAGATATCATATCTCTAGGTGCATATAACATGTGACTCCAGATGCCCCCAGACGTAAAATCTAACCTTTTATTTCTAGACCCCATGGTGTCTAGGAGAATGCTAGCTATAAAACAGAGGCTCAATAAATACTAGTGATTGAGGACATTGCAAAGAGAGAAAAAAGACCTTTGATTCTAGGTTGTTAAGCTGCTGTATATATAGCAAAAACCCAAGTGAAAGGCAACCTTTGCCTTTAAAGATACTGTAAGTGACTTCTGAATCTCAGGAAGGGTAGCTGCAGAGATGTCATCATAAGGCAAATTGGAGGCTTAGGTGCTGGGTTTGGGGAATTTTTAGGATGAAAAGTGCAAGAGAAAGTAAGAAAGCCACAAAGCTGAAATAACGGAATCTTATTTAATACTGAGTTTTTCTACTACAGAGGATCAGAATGGCACAAAACCTGCAACACCTAGAAAGTGGCTGGTTCCTGTGAGGAAAAAATTTAGGAATGCCCAGGAAATTCCAAATGTGCCCCGCTCTGAAAGGCCCAAGGAGAAACCAGCGAGACCATGCCAACAAGGTAAGGAAATCAACTGCAGGTTAGGCATTTCAAAAAAACCGAAGTTTGCCTTCAAACACTGACTCCCAAAAATGTAATATTGCAAGGGGGAGTAAAGAAAGAGTATCTTCTACAAGTTGGTAATGGCCTTCCAGGCCATTAAATTGAAGGTACACTGTGTAATTTCTGTGTTGTGGGTTCTAAAGCTCACCGCAAGTACCTTAATGTTTAAGTCGGGCACATTTCTATGACACTGAGCAGATTTTTCCTGAAGCCCCTCATGAAGCAGAGCCTTATTACAGAGCCTCTCTCTGTAATAAGACATCATCCAAACAGGGACACTTTTGAGAGTAAAAGGGGACAGTATATTAATAATTATTCTGGGCCAAAAGGCACTGACTGGCTCAGTCCCTAGCAGGTCAGAAGGTAGGATACCCTAGCAAGCACCATGCAAACCAATGATGAATATTCTCATTTAATAAGGCCAAGCACATGGTACAATGCCCAGGTAGGCCTCTGGCATGCTGGTGGCTAGAGAGACAATCTGGGAAAAACTTAAGTGTGAAGCAGCAGCTGCAGGCTGGGATGAACTGGAGATGAGATATGGCTTAAAGCCAAAAAATTCATGATGTGGCACACCAGGTCCTTCCAGACCACCTCTCCAATTCACCTTCCATCCATCATTCCTACCCCTGACATCAGCTTGTTGCCTTAGGCCCATCTGGGTTATCTGATGTAGTTGTCCATGCAAATGGCCTCCTGTGTTTTGTCTGCTTCATTTTTAACTCAATTTTTATTTTTATTACCTCATTTTTACCTGAATTAAATATTTAGCATTCTGAACATCGGTGTCGAGAAACACGTATTCCCATCAGAGCTTCTGTAACAGCTGGGGAATGAGATTTTATACGAAGCCTGAGTAGGAGTCAATTTTACTACCTTGATTCCTTTTTTCCTAAATAATCTACCCGCCCCCCAGCATCACTTCCCCAAGGGAGCCCTTCGCTTCATGTCTTTATTGGGCTCCTACTTCACCCTGCACTTCTCCACTCAAGGCCCCTTCCACTTATATTTTACTCTTAATACTGATCTTGCCTAGTTTGTTCAATGTTCTTTTCCAAATTAGGCCTGGCACAGTTAATTCTGATCAAATATTTGTTGACTGAACGAATTACATGGGAAAGCAAAATGATCTTTTTGCTGGCTAAGTTTCCAAGGTAAAAATTCCAGGTCATGAACTGACTAGTTAAAGCTGGAAAAACTTAAAAGACAAGAATAAGGTCCTTTACTAAATATTTTTTCTGAATGAGCCTCTCATTTCAAGTACAGTAGTTGCTAGTAACCCCAAGCCATTAATGGGCAAAAAGAAAGACCGCTGTAGAGGCCTGCCTCAAGGTGACATTGGCCTCTAGTGGATAGAATTGAGAATACAGCAGGTCCAAGTAAAAGAAGTCCCAGGGCAAAGCAATTACAGAAGGAAATGAGAAACCTGAAGTTTCTTTTGTTTTTCACTTCTATCATGTCAGCTGATTTCTTCTCCCATTAAGAGAATAGCCTACTGTCATATTTTTACCTCAGTTAAATACTTAGCATTCTGAACATTGGTGTTGAGAAACACTTATTCCCATCAGAGCTTCCATGACCGCTGGAGAATGAGATTTTTATATGAAGCCTGAATAGAAGTCAACTTCACTACCTTGATTCCTTTTTCCTAAATAATCTTCTTCAGTTTCCTGGTGATTTTCTCAGGATTGAAGGCTACCAGACACCCCTGAGAGACAGCTGCATTTTAAATCATCTGCTAATCAAAGGGTAAATATCTACGTGACAAGGAAACACGGTGACCCAAGAAGGGATGCATAAAAGTGAGGACAGGGTGCAAATACAAGGTACGAACATATAAACTATTTTGCCTTACAAACAAATCAGATGGTGCGGCGTTGTGCAACACTATTACTTTTTTCTCCTTAGCACACAACCTAATCCTGGAATGTGCGCTTTGTGTACACTCCGTTCTGGTGACATGCTCCTAGCTGTTCCTGCTTCATTTAACAACAGTTTGTCATCACTTTTGAGTGTCCAGGGTTTTGTTGTTGTTTTTAAGATTCTATTTATTTATTTGATAGAGAGAGAAAGAGAGATCACAAGCAGGGGTGGGAGGGGTAGAGGAAGAAGCAGACTCCCTGCTGATCAGGGAGCCCCAATGTGGGGCTCGCTCCCCAGCCGAAGGCAGACATTTCACCGACTGAGCCCCCAGGTGCCCTGAATCTCCAGGTTTTAAGAACAATACAGCACACTCGCTTTACTCACATCGTTATCACATCTTTAAATATCTCTTCTCTATTACATGCATGCAGGCTGTTGCTCAGGAAAGAAAAATCTCTCGAACCAAATAATTGCTCAGTAGAAAGTGAGCTCAGAGAGGAAAGGGGGTGGTACAGAGGGTGGTCCCTCAGCAGGCGGAGGGACAGGGGACACGGTGAGAGCAGCTGCAGTCTCTCCCCACAGAACACAGTGCTGTGTGTTCTCAGCACTGAGGCTGGGAGGGAAGGAGGCCGAATTCTTTGATCAGACACATCCAAATTTAAACGTACAAACAAATCCATGTTCCCCAGTAAAGCCGGTGATCTCGGATATTGGCCCCTTCATTCTCCTCTTTTTTTCCCTTTTATTATTATTTTTAAAGATTTTATTTATTTATTTGACAGAGAGACACAGTGAGAGAGGGAACAGGGGGAGTGGGAGAGGGAGAAGCAGGCTTCCTGCCGAGCAGGGAGCCCAATGCGGGGCTCCATCCCAGGACCCTGGGATCATGACCTGAGCCGAAGGCAGACGCTTAACCGACTGAGCCTCCCAGGCGCCCCTTTCCTTTTTTTTTAAAGCACCAAGAACCACCTGACCATCACGGTAAAATCAGATCTGTATAGGAAAGGTGCTTCCCAGCACCTGACTAAAGCGCTGTTTCCCCCAGACACCTGGAATCCACACACATGTGTAACACTGATGGCAAGTACGCTCACATTTCAATTAAGTGGAATTTACCAGCTGCCACCAATAAGTCTGCAGAAAGAGAAGCAGTAATGCCTACTTTTAAAAAGTCTGTCACCTCGTACACCGTCCCTCGCTTTCATCTTCTTAATTTTTGCCAGCACGCCATGCCAGGAGTTCTTTCTACCACCCTCTATTGAGAATGGAGGCCCTCTAATCCGAGGGAGAAGACCGAGAGGAGCCACACAACCAGAGGCCGGGTCAGAGACGCACCCTTCCAGGGAACCTTCTGAACAGCACGGATTCGGCTCAAGCGGCCGCCTCCACGCCAGGCCCCCAGACGCTTCCGCCATACCTACCATTTCCTTGAACGCACTTTCCAGAGCCCCGATGACCAGGCACTCGTGTGGAATCTTCTTCTCGGTGAAGAAGCGCGTGGGCGGGGTGCTGGGGGAGCCCGGCGCCCCCACGCCTCCGCGGAGCGAGGCGGCGCGGGTCAGAGTCCGGCTGTTGGCGGGGGTGTTCTCAGGCTCCTCGCCCAGGCAGGTGGGCGGCAGGACGGCAGAGTTCTTGAGAATCTCCACGATGTCCTGCAGCTGGTCCGTGACGTGGTGCTGCAGCAGGCGGGAGGCCACCACGGCGGCCCCGGACCCTGCGTGACCGTCAAACAGCGACCAGTAGTGACAGGAAACGCCTTCTGATTCCTGGGGGAGGGAGGCGACAGGGGGGTGAGAACCTCAGCGGTCAGTGCCCCAGGGTCACCCTGACCGAGCGAGGCAGGGCACTCAGCGCAGCCACTGGGTGATCCGTCTCTGTCTGGCCAACAGTGGGGGGGAGGGGGTCAAAACATGGCAAAAAGGCCCAGGGATTTGTCACTACTGGGACCACCGCCCGAGGGATGGAGGAGTCCTTGCCTCTCTGCCTGGGGGAGGAGGCCAAATTACCATGCAAGCTCAGTCGACTACTTTGTGGCAAGATCCACCTTGATTTGATGTATAGATGTTTGAGGTAGAACTCCATGCCAACAGGTCAGTCTTTAGCAGTCCAGCTTTCACCCCTAACTCCTCACTTCCCTCTGCAACCCCAGATCAGGCTTGGCCTGGAGTCTTTGGAGGAAGTCAAGCTCTTTTTGCAGATTCTTCAAGGGAGAAATAAGTAGACCCATTTTTCCCCTTGAGAGCCTTTTCACTCTCAGATAACTGACCTATCCTCTTTGGTCTACATCCCGTATTTTTAGAACATGTTTTCCCCTTAGACACCCAGTCTAAGATGCAGCCAGTTCAAACCTCCTCCTCCTTTTTCCTGCCTGCCTCAGTTTCCCAGCTGGTACTCAGCATCTTTGTTTCCTCTTCCTACTCTAAAGCTTCCTACCCTAAAACACGTTCCCATGTTCCCTCATCTACTGTGGATTTCGTCTCGCAGTTATTTCTAGACTATTTCAAATGAAAACCATGTTTGAATTACACATGCCTAAGATTTTAGCTATAGAAAAAAAGAGCTTAAATTAAACGCATTAATTTATTAAATAGGTAAGATGCATAGGTAATTAAACAGGGTGCATATAACATCCACTCCTGACTACTAGGCTTATCTACCCCACAGCAATAAATATTGAATCCTTTTCTAGCTAAAGCCATTAAATAAAGTTCTTTTGGTCTTAGAATGATGCTGGAAGATACTGTACAGTTATGGTGACATATGCCATTACTCCATTTGTGCCCTTTAAATTTCACTTTCATTCAATTCTGTGCCACGTGCTGAGAAAATAGTTGATTTTTAGTCAATAAATACTGAACATTCCCTATGTGACAGGTGCAAAATGGACACGGGATAAAAAATGGCTGGAAGAGAGATCAGATATGGTCTGATCTTAATAATCCAGTGGGAAGACACATACTGATCAAATAATCACACAAACAAATATAAGCTCACAATTCTGGTCATGGCTATAAGGAGAGGTTCTTAGTTCTTGGTGCTACGTGGCTAGCTTGCAGACGGGCACATGGAGGAGGTTTCCTGGGGACACGCAGGGTAGCCTAAGAGCTGTTTGGAAGTTCACAAGATTATGAGGGGAAAGGAGAGACCACCAGGCAGTAGAGACAGCAGGTGCCAAGGCCCTGTGGTTGGAAGGTGCATGATGCATGAGAGGAGACTGAACCATACCATGTGACTGAACAGAGGAGTGAAGCAGGAAAGAAGTGGTGGGGAGAAATGATGCTATAAAGGGACGTGGCAGCCAGACCACTCAGTCCTTCCAGGACACATGAAGGATCTTGGCTTTAGCCTAAGAGTAACAAAAAGCCATTGACTGAGGTGGGGGTGACAAACTTATGTTTTTAAACAATCACTCAGGCTACGCCATGAGGATTAGGAAAGAGTGAAAGTGAGGATGCCAGCTAGGAGGTGAATAACACCCTAAAAAGACATTCAAATTCAGGCAGTAACAAACACTTATGAATGACCAAATGCACTCTAACTCAGGACAGTAGAAAGAACAAGGACTTCAGAATTAGAAGATCTGAGATCTAATGGCATCTTCAATACCAATCAGTGGGAGTGGGAAGCAGAGCAACGTCAGGAAGGCCAAACAGGCATCAGACCCTGGCTGGGTCACTCCAGAGCCAGACATCCTGTTGCTTAACTGGACCATGTTTGCCTAGTAAGTAAATGTCAGGCGATAGCTAGCTCACAAGGAGTTAACCTTTAGCAAGGTTAAATGGTGATTTAGGCCAATGGAGTAGCTAAGTAATATATCTCCCTCATGTGTAACTGCTATCACTACCATTACAATATGATTTTGGATAAGTCATTTTCTGAGCTTCAGTTCTTCACCAATGCGAGAAGCTACCGTAGAAGAGGCCACAAGAAGAATTTGGAATGAGAGCTGATAGGGCAGCCGGTGGAGGAAAATACCAGGAGGCTTCGGTTGTGTGGCTGATTGTGGTACATGCTTACCTGGTATCCACTCTTTTGGGCGGAACTTCCAGGAAAGCTATTGTTTTCCTGATAAAAGGGACAACTCAAGTGGCCTGGCCTTTGCCCTTTACCTTTCCCCTTTCTTCCTGCCTGGGTCACAGAATCAACACCTGGAGGTCGAGTAACCCTCCTGCAAAACTGGCTGAAAGCTGTAGTTCAAGGTAATGGGACGGGAAGTCTGAAGGAGCCCAGGCCCTCAGTGTCTTGCTTGGGATGCAGCATGGGCCCTCAACAGCCTGCCTTCTGGGCTCCCTGTCGCGTGGGCTGCATGACATTTTGATAAGCCACTGTTGCTAGCTTCTTTAACAAGAGCTGGGGACAAGGAGATGAAAGGAGGTGTGTGTTTATCTAGTATTCTGGGACTTGGGGCATGCGTGGCGGGAAGGAGGAGTGTGAGATAAGGAACGCAAGAGCACACAAAAAAAGAATGAAAAGTAGGTAGAAATGGCTAGCAACCAGGAATAAAACTGAACCCCCTGGAAAATGTTCTTAATGGAGAGCATCTGTGGATAGAATTCAGTGAATCTATATTTTCACCAACCTCTGAAACTTAGCATTTCCTCTTATTATGAATGCAAGGCAACAAAGCATAGTGGGATTAGCAGTTCCTATGACTTGGGTCACCAACAGAAATAATGACTGTCATTCTACACAGCCTGAATTATTGTTTATACTCATCATTACTTTGCAATGGTCGGAGTTATTAAACTCACCACTAGCTCTTGTTACTTGCTGCATTAGTCAAGTACATATTCCCATATTACATCCTCACAACTAGGGAAAAGCTGCAAAAGAAAGGGATTTTTTGCTTATTACATCTAATTGCCCAAAGGTCCCAAGGCTGCTGAGTAAAACCTGCACACACAGTCCTTGTGCACCCAATTTAAATGAAAACCCAGCAAACACTGTTAAGGAAGCTGTGGGCAGGGCCAGTGAGGGATGAAATAGGAGCAACTGTGTCCGTGTCTGGGCACAGATTCTGTTACACCTAACATATCATGTTTCAGGAATCATGATTTGAATCAAAGATCAAACCCCGTGAAATAACGAGGCACACTGCAATGCAATGCTACTACATTTTTAAAAAAGCAACTCTGACATTTTTCTGACAAGCAATTCAACCATTTCCTTCAACAAGGCAAAACATTCTGAAGGCACTGCAACAACAACCAGCTGACAAAATATCTGGGCAATTTTTAAGCAGTCAGGAGACAACCTGACTGGGGGACTTCTGAAGCAGGGCCCAAACACCCTGCTTCCGGGAACACCTTTGCACAGCAGGGCTAGAAACTCTGCTACAGCTAACTTTCAAAATGCATTTAATCATTTTCACAACTAAAACTTGTAAGACATAGTTTTTCCACAAAGAAAGTTTGTGTCTTACTAAAGACTAAATAAATCCAGCACTGTTTGATGCAGGGTTCACTCCCAGCCCAATTAAGTCAGTCAGTCTGAAGGTGGGGCCCTACCACTGAGCTTTTTTTAAAGCTCCCCAGGGGATCCTAAGAGCTGCCCAAATTGAGAACCCCTGGTCTAACAGAAAGGGGGCCACTAAGCAGTTCCAGAAACTCTCATCCTAGGCTCAGATCTGCCATCGGTTGTATGACCCTGGATGAGTCACTTACATCTCCCTGAACTGACCAGAACAGCAGCGTCCAAACTGTTTCTTGTTTCCGAAGTGGTACCTTAGGAAAGAGGAAGTGGGTGTTTAAAGGATAAATAAGTCCCGTTGACTATTATTCCAGCCAGGGCAGCACGGATGTGTCAGTTATAAACATCAGGGGTTTGCAAAAGATTTTGGACAAAAGGATTCAACTGTTCATAACAATTTTTGAAAGCTTTTGAACTAGGTAAAACCAAATTCATCAAGAGACTTCAAAATCTTCAGTGTCCTTCTATGGCAGGGAACTTAAAGTGAGGGATGTATTATTTGGGAAACTACAACCACAAAGGGGGCCCTCCCCACATGTTTTAGATGCCAACTCAGCTCTTAAAGCCTATGAGACCATCAGGTAACAGAAACGTCGAGTTACGGGGCTACAGCACCCTTCCAGTCATTTAATAAACCTTACATAGCAGGCAATATTCTAAATGCTTTATAAATATTAGCTCATTTAACCCTACCACAATCCATCCTGGGAAGAGTCACCCTATGACGTGTGGTTATCATTCCCATTTTATAGAGGAGGAAAAGGAGGAACAGAGAGTCTAACTGTTTAAGGGTACCACCTCTTAAGGGACACAGCTGGGAGCAGGTTCCATGCTCTGAGCCAACAACCCCTTGCCCAGCTGAATACCCTCATGCACACTCTACCCGCCCCTGGAGGGAATGCTTGCTCTAATGTACACGTGCCACTCAGATCTGCTTCTCCTCTCTGCAACCTGAGTTGTAACCAGAGTGATTTTTTCTAAAACACAAAATCTGACCAGGTTTCTTTTATCAGCCTAACCTCCTCCTTCGGCTGGCTCCAGCCTGAGCCAGTTTGCAATCTCTGAGGTAGTGTCTGATTCCCTCTTCACATTCTGTCACTCCAAATCCCACCCACCCAACTATGGCACTTGTAGCTCATCACAAACCACCCTCATCCTTTGCCTGACCTCCCCCACCCCAACTATCTCTTAGTACTTATCTTAAATATCACCTCCTCCCGGAAGCTCCACTGCATCCTCAGCCCACCCCTAATGCAGCATTCATCAAATAGTGCATGTTTGTCTGGTCACCTGCTTG